ATTGCTGACGAGTGCCAGGTAACACGAAACACGGGTCCACGGTTTACTGTCGACTACTTCCAACCACCATCTAAAATTTTTGAATCTCTGATCGGCGAATTTCTAAGAATTAAATAGGAAAGATTAGTTCATCGTAGAGTTCTCTTTTCGGCGAATTCATTTTTAAAGCTGTACAATCCCAAATATATATACTTATTTTTACAGGATGATAAAATACCGATAATAAACTTCTGCTACACATGGTGACAGTGAGGTTAAATAAACAACATACAACTTATATATATGACATGAATCAAATATGTCACAGAATGCATAAAATGAAGATAAACAAGCAAAATAAGGGAATCGATGAAAGAGGAAGAATGTAAATGAATGTTTGCGTTATTTCTATTGTTCTTCTCATATCACTTACGTATAAACATAATCTGTTATCTTAACTTTTCGTTTCACACCACATGTCTCCTATACACTAAAGCAAACACTCACTTTAAATATTGTTAAGGTCGATTGGATGACCTAATTAGTATACACTTAACCAGAAAACCATGTATCTATTTATATTCGATAATTTTGATGTTTGATTATATTTCCTTGAAAAATCTTGGACCAGATTGCCAGGCAAAACGTTAAATTTACTTCATTCGCTAATATCTGACAAATACATTCTTCTTCTTTAATATTCCATATTATATTCTGCCAAAATTTATTCTATCTCCATATCAATTAACTTAGTTCATTCTAGATGTTTTAGATCTAAAGTACGATATACTTATTTCACTTTAGAATTAACTTCATCATTTTAAGTTATAATCAACTGAGAAGAATCTATAAAAATAAATGAATTCATCATTATTATTTCCCTTACAATGAACGGTGAGACTATAATTTATGGACGACATTTGAACGACGCTAAAGTGACCTTGAGAATGTCCACCTAATAACTAAGACCAAATGATGGTTATGAACTTGTGTGAGGAATTAGAATTAAGATTTACATTTGACGGTTAAAGTTAGAAATTAGATTTAGGGTTTTCATCACGAACTAACATCAGCTATAATACCAAAACGCTATTTATTCAAATGTATGAATGAATTTCGAGCCAAAATCCAAAACCTGTTATCTTATACCTAATTGGTTCGTTCATAAATTATAGTCTCGCCCATTAAACATACATTATTTAATGATAATTGCTACTTTTCATTTAAGGAACAATTGCATTTTCCTACAATATTTGTATTACACATAGATTGATACATACTTTATATACAAAACAAAAATGTTCATAATCCAAAATTCTTGGATGATTAAAACAAAACAACGAATACACCACCATAAACTAACATTTCAGATTAAAGAATAAAGTTGACGATCTATTCATAAAGTATAAAATTAAGTGATAGTATAGCTGATACATGTATTATCAATGTTGTACTGTTTTTGTTTTCTTCACTAAATGACTATAAAATTAATCATGTATATTCCTGATGTCAGCAGTTTAAGTACTAATAGAAAGATTGACTGATCAAGTCAACTTTTCAACAATAGAAAAAAAATAATGTTACGTTTTCTGCATGGTATAATATTTAAGCTTCAGCATGTGATTAGTTGGATACAAGATCATTCATGATTGAAGTGTGTTATTTTTTAAAAAAATAATCAATGGTTAGAATTTGATAGATAAAATAGATAGATGGAATAGTCTTATACTCTTATACTTCTATTCAGTAGAATAAAGATTATATTTTTGCAAAATGTAATTGATAAAAGATAGTTTTTAATGAAAGTTATACAAAGCCTTTTTATATTAGGTATAACAAACAAAAAGGTTCTATACATAAATCTTTTATCAAATCATTAATGTCAATAAGAATGAGTTCTAATTGAAAAGAAAAGATCCAGCGAGCGGGATCGTAGATGTGCACTGCTGTGGAGTCCCACAATAGGATGAAATGGTCATCCAGTACTTCCAGGTTTTCAATCATGGTCTAGCATCAATCGGTTCATGATCTCAATCAAAAACTTAATAACCTTCACGACCTCTATACTGTTAAAAGAAAACTGATTTTGTTTTAAAGGTAAACGTAATTCGGCATCGTTTTTATTCAATAACGAAGTTGATTAGTTTTTTATTGTCAAAAGAATAATAAATTAGATTGTATACTCTGTTGAGAAATATGAAAATTTTAAGATACATAGATACAAATTATATGAGGATGGGGGGTTGTGGAGATTTTAGTGATGTTAATAATCAACTCATGGATTCAACTATTAAAATCACTACAATCTCTACAAACTACCATTCTAATAATAATCATGTGCTTACTAGTGATTGACTTCAAGATGTATTGTCTGCAGTTCTAGTGGGAAGCTGTAACCAGTGGAGTTTAATCCTTGTCGGGTAGAGATAGGTATCTATCTCAGACAATGGATGAATGATTGCACAAGATCATGGATCGATTGAAATTAGACATTAACAGCGTTGTATGCCGACTCAGTGATCTGGAGGTTAGGCGTTTATGCACAAGACCGAAGGTTCTGGGTTTGAGTCCCCTTGGTACAGCATCATGGATGCGCAATGTTGAGGAGTCTCATACTAAGACGAAACGGCTTCCAGATTTTCCATGGTGGTCTACCTTACATCGAATCATCAATTAAACTACCAAAAACTTTATGATTTACCTTGTCAAACTCATTTAAAAACGCTGAATGTTCTTTTTAAATTATAAATGTTGGTAGTGGAAATCTCAGTCATATGTTTTCAATCTGGACTATTTCATGTATAGTTGCATTAGGAATTGATAGACAAAGTATTAGCCATTGAGCAATGAGCCATCAATAATCTATTCTAGGCGAATATTACATCAGAGATCCAATTATTTTTACGGGTTTATTATTAATTGATATATTTATCCTTAACCTCAATACTCGTTTTTCCATACGTTTATTAATTTTATTTTGTTAGGGTTTGAATTATTCTATCGTTGATGTTATTGACTGAATTTCAATCAGTTTTATTTGGTACATGCGTACTTTGTACTGAGTACCTGAATATAACTACTAACGAGACTTAAATAGGGTAAAATGGGCGTCCGGAATTCCATTGTCAACTACAATCCATCTCTTCTATAAAGTGTTAACTTATTGTTCAGACTATAAATTGAACCAATCTTCCAAGTTTTTATGAGTTAATTATCACTTAAGCTGGATACAATAAGATGATTAATATGCAAATAATAGGCGAAACTGATAAATACATGCAACGAATTATTTATGACTTATAGGATCCGGTGAGAACACCTCTCATTATGAGGTAAATATACATCATTAAATCAATCATTAAAGTTAACCGAATAAAATATTTTCTGAATTTCGGTTTTGCATCTGCTGGTATTTATGATTATTAGTATAAAGTTAATCTAATTTCGAAAAACAACTCAATATTATGTACACCCACGTAATTTAATGTTTACATTCCGAATTCGCTGTCTGGGAATATTAATTTTTTTTACGCAGAAACTATTAAAAATAATCACTATAAAGTTTACGGGATAAGTTGAAAAACACAAAAATTGCTCCATTTACTCCAAAAAAAGATCTTTTATATAGTTTACGGTGAGACTGTAATTTATGGACGACATTTGAACGACGCTAAAGTGACCTTGAGAATGTCCACCTAATAACTAGGAGCATATGAGGGTTATAGATCAATGTGAGGAAATAGGATTATAATTCATAATTGATTGCTAAGGTTAAGAATTAGATTTAGGGTTTTCATCACGAACAAACATCAGCTATAATACCAAAACTCTCTATAGCCAAATGGATGAATGAATTTTGAGTTAAAATCCGAAACCTGTTATCTTATACCTGATTGGTTCGTCTATAAACTACAGTCTTGCCATAATTAAAACAAAATGAAAAGAAAAACACTGGGAGCAATTCAATTTTTAGGTTAAATTCTAATCCTGATTAAAATACTCAAAACATTTTTGATTGACTTTTGTTAAATAGAATTCTAATTTAGCAAACTGTGAAAGGTACAATGACTAACTAGAAAATTTATGGTAAATTCGATTCGGATTCTCAAGAAAAAAAACACAGAAACAATGTTGTAAAAAAAAGAACTTATGTTTCTTAAAATTTTTTATCCGTTTCCCTCCCACCTAGATACTCTAGTCGTATAGTTTATTTTTTCACTTAGTAACATACGATAGTTTGAAGATATCTATATCTGTTGCAACTAATTTAATAACTTGTTTGTTACTCTATGTATATACCTCAGTGCTGACTGACTTTAATCTATCTCCAAATATAAATTGATCTCTGTCGAATACTTTACTGCCTACCTACTGTTTTAACAGTAGTTTTTTAATGTACTTAAGTTCAAACTGTTCACAATGGTCAAAAGATAATTCTGCTGGATTTTAGGTTCTACCGAAACGTATTAACAAGATATATCTCCAAGTTAAGCCCTTCATCAGGATCAAAATTTTGATCATGATTTTTTTTAACTTCTTAGATTATTTCTTAACCTATTAAATTTATACCTCTAATTTCAAAATGTTTTCTTGTATTAATGAGATTCTGCTTACTTATATAATCTTGCCAACCTCCCTAACAAGTAATTTACTAATTCCTTTACTGTAGTCGTCAAATAACCCATAGATTAGAGGAATTTGTATATTCCTAAATTTTCGTTAAAAAATCAGAAGGCTACATCTGTACTAGCAAGTATTACATTAACTATAAAAGCGAAATACGAAACCACATTGCACTGAACAGTACGGAACCTTAATATATACATTCATGATATAGAGTAACAAATTTATTGTTAATAAACCAAAATTCATCAATGTTAAAATAAGCAACAACACCAATAATCAATGAATCAAAAGCTGATTATAAAAACACAATAAAACAAGGTTTTGATAAATACTCATCAAAAAATGAACAAATTACTCAACCAGGAAATAAAATTCATAAATCTGTGTAAACATACTTGGATAGAATTGATATAGCCCATCCATCTACAGCGATATCTTGTGTTGCAGCAAGGAATGTCAATCCGAAAAATGCAATTGTTAAACGTATTATATCAACTGGATGATGTGTACCCAATGGACTCCATGGATTATTTGGATCACGTCCTAACCAACTATTTATATAATTGGCTAAAATAATTAATTCAATTCCTATAGCATATTGTGTTGGAATAAGCCATGTTTTTCGACGTCCAATATGTGTACTATAAATTGAATCAATGATTGGAGCCCAAGCTAATTTGAATGAAAATGGCCAGATTACCAATGAAAATGTAGCTTGTGCTTGATAACTTCCGGTATAATAACTTGATTGTAACATAAATGGAATAGATGCAGATAGACCAATAGGTATACCCTAATTATAAAACAGTGGTAAAAGAAAATAACATCAAGTTATTCACATGTATATACATATGATATGTTATATTTAAGAATGTCCCATTAGTTAACTTCCAAAATACGTAAAATATCGAAGAAATACAAGCGTTTGATGCACCACTGGAAACCGGCTCAGTGGTCTAAAGGTTAAGCTTTCGCGCACGAGGCCGAAGGTCCTGGATTCAAGTCCTACGCACGGGATCGTGGATGCTCACTGTTGAAAAGTCGCACACTAGGACAAAATGGCCATCCTATGCTTCCAGGTTTCCCATGGTGGTCTAGTTTACATTGACCCATGAATTCAATTATTAGTTTACTAAAGTATTGACAATTGAGACAGTTTTCCAGTTTCATGGTTATTTTCAGTCATGCTTCTAATGCCAAGTTAAGAGAATTATTAGTCGACTGTATTCGCTGCATAAAATGTCTTAAACCTGTTCCCAAAAGCAGTTTGCATCAGTGTAAATGCATGCCTATGACGTATTTAATAACCACAGGTTTACTGTACACACGCATATAACTTGGCTTGTTGTGACTGTAAAATTCTAATCAGTCTAAGAATGTTTAATCCAATTAATGTATCAATTTAAAAATTCCCATAGAATATTCAAAAACAAAGAATATTGAAACGAACAAGTGCATAAAATATTGGCTGCTTAATAGGAATAATGATAGTAATAATAATGGTAATAGTATTCATAATATCGAGTATAGTTAGGAAGATTTTATCAAGGTAATTATAATAAGTTCATACGAATCAGGAAAAATATGTAATTTGAGAATGGGACAGAGTAGATATAAACATAGTGGGAATTAGGGAATAAGGGCTTAAAAATTCTTCCTTATGTACATGATGATTTAATCGTAGACTAAAGTATTCATTATTATTATAATTATCTTCATTACATGATTCACTTCGTTATTACACTGGTTATAATTTCAACTCCTTATGTGGTGTGGATAACTTATATAGTGATGATCAGATAGAATGTATTTCAATAGAAGATCGATAAGAAAAGAACGGAGACGGAACGCAAACTATCAAAATGCATGAACATTGAAATCTGAGACAACAGACTGATATTTGCAACAGGAACAGTCAAGTTTGAAACGACAGATTGATATTTTGCAAATTGACGATTTACTATATGGTTCTCAGATTTTATGCAGATGCTCTGTAATTTTGTGTTCAAAATACATTTGATTGTCTCCACTGATATTCTTGCTCACTACACTTACAATAAATCACTCTATGTTTGTTTGTTTTTTTCCAATGTATCTTTCTAATTTAGAAATAACACATTGTTTTGTAATGTTTAGGACGTAATCAAAGCAAAAGTTCACTAATTTTTAAATATAAAATATTATTTCATTCATTAAAATATCATAATTTGACTTTTATAATAAAATAATGCAACATTCATATCTTATTTTATATATTCAAAGTTGCTAATTAAGTAATATACGAAAATTTTGTGTATAATTTTACCAATACTGAATTAAATAACATAATATATAAATATATAAGTAAATGATGTATGATAATAATTTATTCAGGGTGGCCTATTTAACACATTTAACTCACCTATGAAAGGATATAACAAATTAATTACATATTATAAAACCTGTTTAATCTATATGTATTATATGTATTATATATCTATCTATCTATCTATCTATCTATCTATCTATCTATCTATCTATCTATCTATCTATATATATATATATATATATATATATATATATATATATATATATATATATATATATATATATATATATATATATATATATATATATATATATATATATATATATATATATATTAGAATTAAAGCATCTCATTTATGATAGATGGTGAAAAATAGTCAAAGCAACTAAACTGACCAGAAAATTTTAGTGATTAAATACAGGTAGAAGATAGTGACAGTTAAAAAAAAACATTTTGAATATATATTAAAGACTATAATTTATGAACAACCTTTGGACAACTCTTAAGTGACCTTAAGGAATATTGGCCAATCAGAAAACAGTTAGTATAAAGTAAAAACTATATTATACAAAACCAAAGAATTAAAGTGGATATACTTCTTCTACATGATTCAAAGATTTTTCAAGGTTAGAAAGAGGTTCATAGGTTCTAAAATCGTAATACATACGATAGAAGACCTCATCCGTATGGCTCCATAATAGTCGGCCTCTTGAGCCATTATAAGGTTGCAAAAACTCTTTTAGCCTCGATCACATAGCTTCGATATTGTTTGTGTGCACTCCGGTTGTCAGGTCAACAAAATGCCGCTCGTGAACAACGATATGATGCATATAACCAAGTCTATGTAGGTATCCATACGCTCTTCAATCAACCTTATATATTGTAGTGCCTGGCTGTAATCAATATTACTGGTCCTTTTATTATCCGGTTCGCGATTTGTCTTAGTCTCAATCTGAATTGGACAAAAACACCCTATTCTGGAAGATTAGTTCCTCCAACGCATTTAACATAGAAAGACATAATCATGACAGTCTGCATAAGGTCCACAAGTCATGTGATTACCACAATCACAAATAAAGGAACTTCTTAGTAGTCCCATTTATTGTAGTCGCTCACTTATCACGTTTTCTCTACAATCCACTGTGAACCGATCGTACGTGAGCATCAAGTACTGAAATTGACGCTGTGATCTTGAAATCCCTCACACGGTTCTAATTGGTTTGCCCATAAATTATAGTCTCACTGAGATTGCATATTTGATGCTAAGAATTCTCTTTATTGCATCAAAATTTATTACTATTAATAATTTGACCACTTAACGAATATAATCTTATTTATAGAATAACTTTAATACTAATTCAAATGACGTAATAGAAAACTCTTTCATTGATTTTCCACACATGATATAAATGAGTAACAAAAAGTATCTTTTCTGAAGTGGAAACTAAAACTTAACCAACAATCTTTTTTTAAAAAAATGAAGATAAAAATTATAGTAATAATTGAGGTTAAAGTTATTTTCAAGTGCTATACAAACTACGTAAGTTAAGTTTTGTTAAACTAACATAAGGCAAGCATTTAATAAGAGCAGATTATATAATTAAAGGTATTAAGATATGAAAAACTTTTATTTTAGAATGTAAGAATAAATACTGTAGAATAGATAATAATTAGAAACTGAGTAGATAAATTGATGTAGAAAAAAAGACTGAACAAGTTAATTATCAAAAAAATGTTAATGCCTACATTGTATGTTTTAAAAGGTCTGTGTTTATGATTGAAATAAAGTCAATGGTAAATAGAAAAGTAAAAATTTTCAAGGTGAAATATGAAAAATCTTGAGTATCTGAGGTAAAATCCATTTTCAAACTAACCATTACGTTTAAGTAAGTTTGATGATACTTTAGATAGTCATCATATTTTCAGTATTAACAGGCATGACAGAATTAAAACTGTAACTATATCACAGCTATATATTTTAGTAAAACTTATAATAAAAAACAACAGTTTACCATATAAATTTAAAAGTACCCTCATTCAATCTTTACTTATTCGGAATTAAAAGTATAATAATAGGTTTGTAATACATTTGTCATTGCATATTTGTAGGTCATTTGTTGTTTTATTTTAGTGAATGCAGCAATCCCGTTCTGTTTTTGATTGAGATCATGAACCGATTGATGTTAGACCACCATTGGAAACCTGGAAGCACTGGACGGCTGTCTCGTCCTATTGTGGGACTCCTCATCAGTGCGCATCCATGATACGGCCCACGAGATTCGAACCCAGGGCCTTCAGCCTTGCGCGTCAACGCTTAACCTACTGGACCACTGAGCCCGCATCCAATTATCAGTAATTGTCAATAATTAACATGCGCTCACTGGTGACTAGTTTCGTGAGGGAATTCTCGGAGTTCTAGTGAGAAGCCGTGATCAGTGGAGCTAATCCGTGTTGGGTAGAGACAGGTATCTATCTCAGTACAATGGAAAATGGTCGCGCAATTTCGTGGATTGGTTGATGTTAAACACTAACACCATTGGATGCCGGTTCAGTGGTCCAGTAGGTTAAACGTTCGCGCACAAGGCTGAAGGCCCTGGGTTCGAATCTCGTAGGCGGGATCGTGGATGGGCACTGCTGAGGAGTCCCACAATAGGACGAAACGGCCGTCCAGTACTTCCAGGTTTCCAATGGCGGTCTAAAATCAATCGGTTCGTGGTCTCAATCAAAAACTTAATAATCTTTATAACCCCTATACTTATAATCCTATTTTGATTCGGTATATGACTTGATCATTAGAAACTATCAACTTTCTACTTCCGTGTTTTTGAAGTGATTTGCGTAGTTAGAAACTAGTTATCTTTTTAATCAGGACTTAATATTTTTAAAAAAATACAAGTAATAAAGTGTGATGGTCATTGAACAGCTCATTTGTACGACTATGGAATCTTTCAGAAATAAGAACCAACAGTTCTTTACGTACTAGCAAACAAGAAACCTTCAGGTTTGACAGCAAACATAATAAGACAGAATCGTGAGTAAGGACTTTAGCACCTTACGTTCTTGATAAGTTATTATATAACTAATTCTCAAGTTCATATCACTGAGTAATGAAGAATTTTCAAACTACATAAATCTCTAAAAAAGAAATACACCTGAGTAAATAATAATCATACACTTAATGAAAACCAATTTCAAAAAGAATTTTATGAGATTCTAGTTCAAAGTTATAACTACTGAAGTTAATAGTAATTCACATAGAGTTAAGTGAAGACGTTCTTGATGGAAATTATCTTCAAGTATTAATGAGTTCTATCCAAGATGAATTGTTAAGTTGTATATGACTTTACTTTAAGGTAAATAATAAAAGTAAATTTTGAAAATATAACGTATATTAAGAGATTTTCTCACATAATTGAAAGGATTTAGACAATAATAATGTAATTAATATCTCATTAGGAAATTCGCACAAATAAAACCAAGGTTTT